TCTCTCTCTCTCTCTCTCTCTCTCTCTCTCTCTCTCATTTTACACCAGCCAATGTGTCCCTTCACCCACAGTTCTGTTCTTAACCCCCTCGAGGGGGGAAGGATTATGCATGCATCATTGCTATCAGTTCCCTGAGACTGTTACTCTTGTTTTTTTAATACTTCAACTGGGGGCTCTTACATCTCTTATCACAATCCACACATTCCTCCAATGTGTCAAGCACATTTGCACATATGCTGCCATCATCATGTGCAAAGTATTCTCTTCCCACTTTGGTCCCTGATATCAGCTCCCCATTTCTTCCCCATCCCTCCCCTAGCTGTTACTCTTTATGAGAGTTGAAAGTCTCATCTTTATCCCGTGGAGAGGCTGATGGTTTCAAACTGTTAACCTTGTGGTTAGCAACAGGAAGCGTATTCCACCACACCACCAGGGCTCCATCGTGTGGCCTAGACCACCTCCACAGAGCATTAGCCCCACCCCTATCGACCCCAACTTTCTCCCCCATTGGGCTTGCCCTTCGCCCTTCTCATAAACCACACCTCCACCATCAGATTCTAAAGCCCAGTCTTATAAATCCTTCCCTCTGCAGCTGCCCCAGTCCCAGTTCCACTCACTCTGGGCTCCTTGCCCTCCGGCCAAGGTCACTTGTGGAGCTGGGAGTGAGCATCCTGGGTCCGTCACGCGCCCGAGAGAGCCGCGCCACCTCCAGTGATTCTGGACTGCGTCCCTCTTCCCCTCGGCTCGCCTCTGGGGGTCCACCGGGGCCACCAGGGCCCTCCCCAGGCTGGGGACGTGCAGGTGACCTGGGCTGCCCACTAGCAAGCAGACACAGACAAAAAAGCATTACGCTTTCACCAACGCTCCCTATGTATAAGGAAGGGGAGGGGTGTCCCTAAATCGTGAGCCCTGGTTGCAGATGGCAGATACTGAGGCTTGTGCGGTTGGAACCTCAATGCCGTCGAGTCGATTCCAATTCATTGCCATCCTGTGGATTTTTCAACCTGCAAATTCCTGAGACAGTGCATTTGTAAAGGAGCAAACCGCTTCAGCTTTCTCCCACGGAGCTGCGATGCCTTTGAATCACCACCCTGGGGGTTAGCACCCAAAACGGATAAGCAACTCATGACGCCACCAGAACTCCTCACTCACTCACTGACATCGAGTTGAACTACCCCTGTGAGCTTCCGAGGCTGTAACTGTTACACGGGAGTAGAAAGCCCGTCTTTCTCCCCCGCGGAGGGGTTGGTGGCTTCGAACTGCTGACCTAGTAGATTGCAGCCCTCTATGTAACCACTCGGTGCAGCTAGGACGCCTCAGAGTGTGTAAACACCGATGAGGCGGAGCTTACAGGGGACAGACGTTTGCTGATTGGAGGAACGGATGTTTTCCCCCAGAGGCGGGGCTTCAAAAGACGGCCTCCTGATTGGACGTTCCTTTCGAGGGGAGGAGTTGGGAGGGATTGAGGTACAGGGAGAGGGGCGTGGTCTGCATCTACACTCACCAATCATCACCCTCCGCCCGGGAGGCGCGGCCCAGCGCGCGAAGCCAACCTCTCAGGTCCTCCAGTGTGTCCGCCGCCAGGACGTAAGTCCTCATGCCCGGGTGCTCCGCCTGCGGGAAGAGAGGGCTGGCGACTTGGACGCCCTGGTCGCCCACAAAGCTGCCATGGACTCTAATCAAGACCCCTTCTCTCCGCTAGTGGGTGCTCTGGGTCCTCCTGCAGACTGCCCATGAGCCCTGCTCCATGCTTCGCGCCCACGGGAGACCGAGAGACTCACGGTGAAGGTGAAGCGCCGCCCGCGAGGGGCTCCCGGCCCATCTGGTTTGATACTGTAGCTGGGGAGCAAGACACTCCCCAGGACGCTCTCCTCGCGGCTGTCTACAAAAAAAGGCGGGGGTATGTGTGTGTGCTCGGGTCAGTGGTCATCAGAGGTCAAGAGGTAATAGATTAGAAGGAAATGGCTATTGCTTACCCTTGTAATAGAAGAGGCAATGACCAGAAAGGACGAACCAGCGGCGTTTCCAGAGCCGGAGACCAGCGCTATCCTGGAGAAAGAGAGTTGGGAACAGAGCCTGAGTAGAGGAGAGGGGAGTGGAGATGGGGACAGTGACATTGAGGGACAGAACCCCAGAGAGAGAAGCAAGAGATCCAGAGAGAAGGGAATGACGGAGGCCACGCTAGATCTAATAGATAAGGGTGTGGGAACTGGACACCAGTGTGTTGTGGGGACAAGGTGACTCTTCTTTCTAACCAGCTCGCAGAGGCTGCTGAAGCTGGGGACTCCACTTTGAGACCCCCTGCGTGTCCCTGACCCCATAGCAGACTCTTAGTTTCCACATCAGGGACGCCTTCCAGGACTGCAATCAAGGGTAGCCCTCGTGCCCTGAGCCCCAATTTCTCCACAGCATGCACTACCCAAGCGCCTAATAGCCCTGTTGGCTTTCCAAGGCTGACATGTACTTAAACAGAAGGGCCACGTCTTCCTCTGCCTAGCCAGCTGGTGGGTTCCCAGGGCTGACCTTTGAGTTAGCTGCCTGGCACTGTAACCACGGCGCCACCAGGACTGCTAGCAGCACTCACTCCCATCCGAAATGGTCGCATCTGGAATTTATTGACTAATTTGGTACCCGTCTCCATCCTTGGTGTCCTACCGAATTCCACGTTGGGCTGCTAACCACAGAGTCAGCAGTTTGAAATTACCCACCGCTCCACAGTAGAAAGATGAGGCTTTCTACTCCCAGCAAGGAGTAGTCTTAAAACCTCCCAGGGCAGTTCCCAGGGAATCTGTCGATATAAGGTCATTGTGAGTCGGAATCCACTTGATGGCTGTGAGCTTTATTTTCTGCCCTCGTTCCCTGGCTCACCCCCCAACCCCCAGCCCCTCATACCCAAGTCTGGAATGTCATATGGAAGCTCATTGGTGTGATTTGCAGGCTGGGGGGGGCCTCTAAACAGAAGGCTGATGATTGGACGCTTCTCACAAGGAGGGTGAGGATTCGTCAGTCTAGTCCTAAGCCACGCCTCTTTCCCTTTGTTCCCCACTTCTCTTCCCCCCACCCTTCAAGAACTAGACATTGAATCAGTGAACAAGAGACAATAAAAACAAACGCCCAATATCTCACTGCCATCGAGTCAATTCTAACTCCTAGGGAATCTATTCTAACTCCCGGCGGCCTTATAAGACAGGGTAGAACTGTCCCTGTGAGTTTCCGAGACTGTAATCCTTTACAGGAGTAGAAAGCCTCATCTTTTTCCTATGGAGTGGTTGGTAGATTCGAACTGTGGACCTTGAGGTGAATAGGTCTACACTTAACTAGCTGTGACACCAGGGCTCTTAGGGAAAAGGCAGTGATATAGCCCATAGAAACACGTTTGGAGACATGTGAAGAGAAAGAACATACTTCAGACAGCCAGGGCCCCAGCCCCTAGTGCCACCCTGCATGGCCGAATCCCCCGTTCCACCTGCTTGTGCAGCCAGCCTCGGATGTGGACCGTGAGGTTGGGGTCCCTCCGGAGAGCATTGCCCCTTTTCCCGAAGGCGTGGACCTTGCTCACCGCCCTGGTGGACTTCTGAGAAGAGGAGAGGGACAGGAGTGAGCAAGATGGTCTCTTGGGGAGGCACGCAGGGCTTTTCCCAACCAGTGCCAGCCTGCCCTTGCAGGTAGGTGATGGGTCCATGGTAGTCTTCCCCTGCCCTAGAATTCTGAGCCTAAGCACGCCGGGCATGGTCACCTCCAGTGCGTCAGTGGAGGCTTGTGCGAGGCTGTGACGCTGAAGGGTTTCCACGCAGCGTGAGAGATGAGACAGACTAGGCAGAAAGGCCTGGCCATCCCGCCATGCGGACTCATAGCGACCCTATAGGACCCGGTAGAACTGCCCCCTGTGGATTTCATAGACCGGAACTCTTTACGGGAATAGAAGCCCTTTCTGTTCTCTCCCAGATGGACTACTGGCTTCGACTACTGGACCTATGCATAAGTAGGGTGTTTTTTAAATTTCATTTTGTTTTGGTTTTCTCTCCCCCATCCCCGCAGTGGGCCCTCTTGCGAGGCTGGGGCGTGGCCTTATCTTCTCCACCAAGGTCAAGGGCAGTCCGCACTCTGGCTTCGGATTAGGAAAATACTCCGGGTGGGGACAGCGCTGGGCGTGACTCTGCATTCCTGGTTGTGGCTGGCGGGCAATTCGGGACCTTCCCGGACCTGGCCCTGGCGGCTCCGTTGCTAAGCGTCCTTTGCCCTTAGCAACGGGAGATGGGAGACGGAGAGGCGTATTGAAGCCCAGGGAGAGGCCCGCCCTCCTCCCCAGGCCCGCTGGGGAACTCGCACCTTGGCGCTCAAGTTGTTGAGTGAGGCGATGGTGGAGACGCTGCTGGCCACACTAAGGCTGCTCCGGGGCCTGCCCTCCTCCATCAAGGACTGGGGACAGGAAGAAAGAGGCTATGTGTCTGTCTGCGCCGAGCCTTCAGAGGGGGACTGAGCCGGGGGTCAGGGCCCTGGAGGTTGGAGGAGGCTGAAGGAGAAAGAGGCTCTTGTTTGGGGGCTGGGGGGCTGGGGCAAGCCCTGGCTTGGGACCACATACCAAGGGCAATGCCAAGAGAGGTGGGCGGTTCGGGCAGCTGTTGGGGAGGGGGACAATTATTTTGCTGCCCAGGACAGAGAATAGGGACCCTTTCTTCCTTGTCCTGGGTCTCTAGCCAGGAATCTGACCTCTGGGAACCCTATAGGCCCCGCCCCCTTCCGGCTGCCCCAGTTACCTGTCTCCTGCACCCCCAGACAGTCGCCATGCCAAGCCCTGGGGCACAAGGGAGGGATGTTCCTGCAGGCAGCACCCCCCAACCCCCACCCAACCAGGGGACTTACCCAGCGCTGGGTCTCAACGACCGGGGGCATCAGAGGGCACCCTGGGTGTGGGGGTGCCCTGGTCTCAGGCTCCGCCCTGCTCTGTCTCTCGGTCTCTCAGCTGCTTCCTCACACTCTGTCTCTGGCTCTCCGTCCCTGAAGGTCTCTCTCTCTTCACACCCTTCCTTCCCGTCTCACCTCACTCTCTCTCCAAACCTGGTCCCTTCCTGTCCCTGCCGGCTCCTTCCCTTACTCATTCTCGTCCCCTTTCCCCCTGCAGCCCCTACCTGCTCCCCAATATCACTTCCCCAACTTCTCTTTCTGTTTCCAAAACCCTTTCACTTAGAATCTCTCTTCTTCAAGTCTGCGCGCGCGCGCGCGTGTGTGTGTGTGTGTCTACCCTTAAGTCTGTCTCTCTGTGAGGCTAGCTGTCTCTCTCTCTCTCTCTCTCCCCTCGTTCCGTCGATCTCTGTCTGTCTCTGAGGTCCTCCGCACCAGCCTTTCCTCCCCTCTCCTCTCTCTTCGCTTTCTCTCCCAGTTGCTCTTTCCTCCAGACGGGTCTCTGCCGCTGCCAGCCGCCCACGCGCCGCTCTGTCTACCCTCCCAATCCCAGCTGTCCCCGCCCCTTCTGGCCTCCCCTCCACCGCCTGACCCCTGGCTAGCTTCCCCCACAGATGAAAGGAGGGGCTGGAGCCCTGACTTCCCTGGGGTCCCCAAGGCGGGGCGAGGCCCGGGAGCTGGAGGGGCTGGGGGTTGTAAGAGCCCAGCGAAGAGCATGAGTGTTAGGAGCCTGCCCCGGGCTGGTTGTGGTCTGGGGCGTGGACTGGTGGCACCCTGTGAGGATCCGGCAGAGGGTGGGGGCCTGAGGAGGTACAGGCTGGGAATCAGAGTTGCTGAATCCTGAGAAGAGGGGCAGGGGCTGTTAAAAGTGTGGCTGAGTGGAGGGGGTCAGGGGGCCCTTGTCCACGTCCCTCAAGGGGAAAGGGATGGTCCAGATGCCTGGATTCTAGCTGTCACACGCTGGCATTCCAACCATGCTGACTCCGAGTGACCCTGTAGGACAGGGTAGAACTGTCCCTGTGAGTTTCTGACACTGTAACTCTTTAAGGGAGTAGAAAGCCTCGTCTTTCTCTCGAAGAGTCCCTGGTGATTTCAAACAGTTGACCATCGTTTGGTTAGCAATCCAACGGGTGACCGCTGTGCCACCGAGGATGGGTTTAGGTGGCTGCTGGTGGGAAACTAGCACTGAGGGAAACAGGACGAGGACTAGATCCCCTAACTTATCACAGAGGGAATCTGGAAAGCTGGTATTCCACAGTAGGAAAGCCTCTACCATGGCAAGTTAGAGATAAACTCCAAGTGCATGATCCTGCTTTAGATAGCATTCCCACAGATTCTCCCCTGAACAGCTATGCTGCCTTCAAGTGAGCATATGGTTGATTCTATTTCCCTGTAGAAGCAGGTTAGATCCTTTTGCTCTCTCTTCCCGCCGTGACACCCAACTTGCCTTGTACCTTCCCCCAGTGCAGGTATTAGGTTTCCTCACCTGTGAGCTCAGGGACCCTTAATATAGATACTACCCACCTTGTGATGTATGTAACTACTGAATATGCATGTCTCAAGCTTACCTGTAAAGATCCCAAAATAGTAAAGGCTCGCTCACTTCTCCCAATTCCACGTGGTCCATCAAGAGGAACTCGGGTGAGCGTGCTACCATACAATGTGTCTGCCTCTTTTATTTGATACTCTCTCCTTTCTTATTTTCCATGACTTTACTATCATCTCTCTGTATCATTGTGGTACATTTGCACCTTCTGGCCCTTCGGTTATTGGAGGCTGGTTTCCTCTGACAGTTGCTGTCAAATCCCCACCTCAGATCCTGGGGAGAATTCTGAGCTAGACCAAGGAGGATGCTCTCAAGAGGGAGCCATGATCGCTGCTGGTGGTGGGAGGGGCAGGGTTAAGGACTCAGGCAGGGCGGTGCCCTGGTGGCACAATGGGTGTCAGGCTCAAGATCAGAGGTTCAACCCCACCTCAGGAGAAAGAAGAGGCTGTCTGTTCCCTGAAGGAATGCAGTCTCAGAAACCCAAAGGGGCAGTTCTACCCGGAGTCGAATCAAAGGATGACACTGAGTTTGACTGGTTTGAGGGGAGGAGTCCATCCTGGGGTGGGGGTGGGGGGCAGTGAGTTATGTGTTGGGTGGTTAGCCAAAAGGTTAGGGGTCGGAACTTGCCAGCCGCTCTGCTGAAGGGAGATAAGGCCATCTGCTTCTGTAAAGAGTTACCCCAGAAACCCTATCACATTGTACCATCCAGTCGTTTCTGTAGGAACAACCCTATAGGACAGGGTAGACCTGCTCCCGTGAGTCTCCCAGACTGTAGCTCTTTACGGGAGTAGAAAGCCTCCTCTTTTCTCCCTACCAAAGCAGTTCTACTCTGTCCTGTTAGGGCGACTCGGCGGAGTTGGACTAGAAGCAGTCTGTTAGGATTTGAAGAAGTTTAAGCATGCAGGCAGTTCCTGGATGGTGTATAAACCGTGATGGGTTTGGCCTCCATCTGGGAGGGCTAGAAGTTCAAGTCCACCAGCAGGATCTCAACAGAAAGGCCTAGTGCTCTGCTTCCTGAAAGCAGCTTTTTTTTGGTTTTGTTTGTTTTGGTATTTTGTATGTCTTTTGTTTTTATCATTTTATTGGGGGCTCACAAAACTCTTATCACAATCCACACGTATATCCATTGTGCCAAGCACATTTGTACATTGTGGCCATCATCATTTTCAAAATATTTTCTTTCTACTTGAGCCCTTAGTATCAGCTCTCATTTTTTCCCTTCCTCCCCCATCCTCCCTCCCTCATGAACCCTTGATAATTTATAAATTATTATTTTGTCATGTCTTACACTGACCGATGTCTCCCTTCACCCACTTTTCTGTTGTCCGTCCCCCAGGGAGGGGGTTATAGGTAGATCATTGTGATCAGTTCTCCCTGCCCCACCCTTTCCCTTACCCTCCTGGTATTGCTACTCTCATTATTGGTCCTGGGGGTTTTATCTCTCCTGGATTCCCTGTGTTTCAAAAGCAGCCGTTTTAACCCCATGGAACCCTGTTATACTCTGGCCTCACGAGTGAGTTGACGCCAAGGCCACTGGACTGGGTCATGTTTTGGAGGCAAGACGGGTGGGAAGATCGAGTCAGGAAGTCTTCCATCCATTCCCATGGGTCCAGTAGGTGTCATCCAGCCAGACTTTACATTTGAGTAAGCAGGTGAAACCTTGTAAATGACTGGGAAACAAACAAATGCAAAACATCCACAGAATAGAACTGTCCCTTTTGGGTTTCCAAGACTTTAATCTTTATGAGAGCAGACAGCCTCATCTTTCTTTCTCTGAGGGGCTGGTGGGTTCGAACTGCTGACCTTGTAGTTAGTAACCCAACATGTGCCCATTAGGCCACCAGTGCTCCTTAGCGACTGGCAGGCAGGTGGGGGGGGCGTGTTGTGGGGACTCCCTGATATCCTGTCGATTTTGACTCATAGCAAGCCTATAGGATCGGGTAGAACTGCCTCCATGAATTTCTGAGACTGTACCTATTGACGGTAATAGAAAGTCCCATCAGTCTCCCTCGAAGGAGCAGGTGGCTCAGAACTGCTGACCTTGTGGTTACCAGCCCAACAGTAACCACTATGCAGCCAAATTTCTACTCTATTCTCCATTTGGAGAGGGCCTCAAAGAGTTGGTTAAAGAAGACAACAAACTCCTGTATCTTTTTTTTAAACCAGGAATCTTTTTAAAAAAATAGATATCAAAGTTTATTAGTGGCTACTAGGGTCAATACACAGAAAGTGGAGGGTAGGGGTGATGGGAAAATTACATGGATCATGGAATGTTAGCTTGCAAACAGATTCTTGTAATTGCGGTCAGTAAGGCTTAAACCTGTAAATAACTGAGCAGGCACAAGCTGTGTGACAGATATACAAGGGGGCTTCAAAAAGTTTGTGGGAAACTTCTATCATTTTCTAATTCATTTGCAGTCATCGCTGTGGCTATTTCTTGCTGCTGGCTTGCTCTTCCACCTGCATGACCAGTCCCAGGGCCTTCCTGAAACCTTGCAGGCCCGAGAGGTCATTGGGACGCATAGCTGCGGTGGGTTCTGCTTTGTCTTCAATGGTCTCCTGGTCGTAGTCTGGCTGCTTGGTCATCTCGGGAGAGCTTAAGTCAGGTTGGCCGGTAATTGGAGCTGAAGGTGCAAGGAGTCTCTGGGAGAAGGCACGGCTGGGTGCGCAGACTACACGCTGCACAGGCTGCAGGCGCTTCTTTGTCACCACCACCAGGAAGTTTTCGAAGCCCCTCTCGTATTTGTGGAGAGTCTATGAGGTGGCGTAGTGGGTTAAGCGTTGCAGGGCTAACCAGCAGGCCAGCAGTGCAAACCCACCAGCCGCTTCACGGGCAAAAGATGAGGCTGTCTGCTTTCACACAGGTAATGTGGTAAAGGTGGGGGGCAAGTAAAAGGGAGACGATGTCAGGGTAATTCTGCTGCCCTATAGGGACATGAGGAGTCCGCAGGCTCAACGAAACGGCAGTGGGTTTAGTTTGATGGACACCAAAAGGAAGCAAGCTGACACCCCCCCCCCCAAAAAAAAAAAAAAAAGCAAGCCGTAAAAGCAAAGTCAAGTTCCTGTTGGCGTTCTCGCTTCATCAGTCAGGACTCGAACCCCTGGAGGGCAGCAGGTCACGGGTGCAGGCAGAAGCCACACCGGCTCCGGCCGGTTCCTCTGGGCTGGGAACGAGTTTGCGAGAAAGCTCGCAGGTTGGGGGCGGGGTCTCGCCCGGACGCGTGACGCCATCACGTCACGGGAATCTCCGCGACCGCCCGTTCTCCTTTTCCCTTCTCACGTCGACGTCCCGAAACCCCGCCTCCTTTCGTGACGTCACCCAGCCTGACGGAATAAAACCCTCCCGCAGGCGTCGCCCGCACGCATTCCGTCCCCAGCCGGCTCCAGTTGTAGATGACCCGTCCTTCGCCCGGAAGACGTCGCGTCCGCCTGTTGCCATAGCACTTCGGACCCGCCGAGATCCCTGAAAGCCCCTGTCCCTGAGGGCGAGATGTGTGCTCCGGTTGCCAGAACTGTCCCGCCCGCCTGGAACTGCGATCCCTTCTGGCCGTCGGAACCCACACTTCTGTCCCCGGGGTGACGCGCAACCCGAGCCGGTGAGTGAGAGATCGGGGCGCCCGGGGCCTCCAGGGGGTGGGCAGGGAGGGGACCAGACCCCTGGTCACTAACCCGAGAGAAGGCTCGGATCTGGATCTGGGCAGTGGTCCCCGGAGAGGAATTGACACACGCACCCCGCCTCCGTAGCGCATTTCCCGAACCAGAATTCTTAGTAATGTTTCTTACCGATTTGACTCATAGACTAGTATGTGATCATAGCTGTCGCTTGCTGACATGTATTTCTTAGATTATAAACCTACTGTGAATGCTAACCACCGTGAGTTGTAATAGACTCGATAGCAATTTGTTTTTGCTTTGGGTGGATGGTGGTGTCTAACAACAGAAATAAATGTTCGTAAGATCTCACAACGTTAAAATTGCAAGACTTAGCTATGTTATTCAGAATTAGGCGAAAGCTCCCCACCCCGTCTTAACTATACGACTTCATTCTCAAAGTTACTGCTAATCCGTTCAAAACGACTAGCTGCTACTGTAGTTAAAATACCAGCACCTTTGCCAACAGCTATGTAAACAGCAGCACGTGAGCCTGCTTGTCGGTAGGGCTGATGGAACCATGTGATCCCTGGAGCATTGGGTCATAGCTCTTTGTAAGCGGGCAATAATGACAACTATGCCCGGAAAGCTTTAGAAGGCTCAAAAGAATGCCCTTCCATTGAAACCCTACACATAAGGTTTATAGGCAGGTCATTCTTGTGACAGACACCTCAGTGTCACCCAGTGCAGTGACACCTCCTCAGAGTGTCACCCAGCGCAGCGCACACTCCCTCCACCCCCCAGTGAGATCAAGCCAGAGGGAGGAGGCTGCCATCTAAGAGCCTGGATTCCTGGGGTCTGTGGGGCAGAGTAGAGGCTTGGGCCTCTGGGGGAAGGACTGGCCTGGGGGCCTGGGTTTAAGAAGGAGAAGGGATTAGGTGTGAGGTGGGCAGGGTGTGAGAGCTACACTTTGGGATCTTTCCTCAGGGGAAGC